GATGAAAACTTAGGAGCTTAATCCCACACTAGTTTGACCATGAATAATGTCGGGTGACGAGTATGACTTCTTTTTCACATTGGACTCGAGAAAAAATCCCGTGCATACTGCTGCTTAAATACTCGCTATGTCTGAACTTATTCGGCAAATGTGTTTCCATCTCTGCTTTTGCGCATTAACTCTTACAGGATGGGGGAAATTGGTCTTGGCGGAGGTTTGCACTCTCCGACTGTTTCTAGTTAAAGTATTGTTTTTGTTGGACCATGGGGGTGAAACAAGAAACCTCATTTTGTTCTGCTGCCAAAAAACTATTCTGGTTGAGCCGAGGAAGCTCAATAACCTTCTGATAGTTTAAAGAATTTGCATTTGAATGTATGAGAAGGGGCCGAAGATGTAAACTGTTGATTGATTATTGAGGAGTCTTGAAATTTGGACAGCCTCTGGCGCGGCACTGTGACGTAAGCGGCCGACAAATCCGGCCTTCGAAGGACGCAGTCCCTGAATTTAGACACGGCCTTGTGTGTTCACTGACCTCCATCACATCTTTTATGACTGGAGTCCATCTTGAAAGGCTGTACAACTCGTCCTGGGAACGATCCCGCCGGGTTGGTTTGCGAGAGAATAAACTAGGCTGAAAAACAAATGCATCACAAAAAGGAGAAATGAATCTACACAGAAAATCAAAAAGGGAAAAGAAAAAAAAAATTACGCACACGATCATTTCTTCTTTTGTACTTACTGACGTAATAATGGGGACTCCCAATTCTTTCCAGTTTAGGATAAACTCTCGTTCATTCTCAATCTGAACATGCTGGATGAGCTTATTTAAGTTTTCTTCTGTTGTTCCTGTTTGCACACAAATCAGAGTGAAAATCTGACCATGCTTTTTCTTCTTTTTTAACCATTGCAATATGTTAAATCAAACAATTTGATGTCTCCAACTAGCAAAGAGAAAAAATCAGTTTAAAAATAATAAACCAAAGGACCTTGTAATGAGAGGAGGTAGTTTTACCATTAAGGCTGAAGATGTAGAGCAGCACAGCTCGTATTTTGTCATATTTGCTGTAAGGGTGAAGCAGCACCGGCAGCAGAGTCCTCATGGAATCTTTCACCTTCACCCCTTCCACATCAGAACCGACTGCAAGGTCCTGCAGAGAAAATTATACCATATCTAACATCCTATATTTATAAAAACATTTGATCTAAATATTGGACCAGGTTAATTTCAGACTAAACAAAAAGTTCCAATATTTTCATTCTTCCATTTTGTTTAAGAATATTGTATTTTTTATACAATAAATTCAGACAACTCCAACATAACTTAAGCCCTCACGGAAGATCAACTGCTACGGTGTGGTATGAGGACTAAAATTAAGACTATTGTGCAACCAGCGGTTGCAACATTCTTGTAGCAGGAGGCTATATCTATTCCTAAACCAGATATTGATCTGATTAATGATAGGCCAGCACCAATAACTGAGAGGCCAGTGCTGGCAAATGAGGAGACTATTTATTTGTGCTAACATTAGAGAGGCTAGCAACTAGCATGCCTAGACTGCTCACCTACATTATTATTGAGAAAAGCCAGAACTATCAAGTTGGGGCATTTTACAGTTTTTGACGGGGTATTAAATTAGGCTTCCCTATATTGAATTATAACTTATAATTCCATTTACAGATATTTCTCATAATTCAGCTAAAGAGGAAAAACAAAACACTGCTGTCGACCAATAGACAAGGGCAAACACAGCTGCTAATTCAGGTGGTAACTAAAGCCCCTTTTCCACTAGTGCCACTAAGTGTAGTGTCGGTACGGTCAGTGTTGGAACGGGTCAGTTTGGGTGCTTTTCCATTGACGGTCCAGTCCGGTTCCAGTGGGTGTGTTTTGGGCAGTTGGTGGAGGTGGTTTTGGGGTTTTTCGAAAAAAGTTAACGTGCAAAATCAGAGTTGGAAACACGTTTGATGAATAACTTTTGAAATTTTAAAAATTTGCTAAAAATTATAATTCAAATGGGATGGAAACAGGACTAACGTCACTGCTACAATTGAAAAAATGGCTCCTCGAGTTGTTCTTGTAAAAGCAGCTTAGATGCAACCAGCGACTCCACCCCCAAGCCAATCAGTGACCAACAGTGTTCTGACAACACATTTTGGTGTCAACTGGGGCCGCTTGGAACCACAACRAAGTAGGTAAAAAAAAAAAGTGCTGCTTCCATGAATCTGGCCTAATGGAAATGGCTTGGAACCGTCCCGAACCGTACCGACACTACACTAAGTGGCACTAGTGGAAAAGGGGCATAAAGCTATCTGCTTCACAGTAATGTTTTTTTTACTTTAATTTTTATTGATTTTTGCAAAATTAAGCAAGCAGAACATTGAACAGTCTGGTAATTTCAATAAACAGCAATTTACAATCAAACATTAATCAATAYGCTATATTTACAGAGTTATGTGTTTCACTATGAAAGAGAGTCAATTTTTCCCACTGTTTATCATACCTGCCCCCTTTCAATCTTCAAGCGGGTCTGGTTTCAACTAACTTTTTGTTATTGCCATTTTACTTGCAGCAAGGATTACCTTTGTCAGAAATTTGTCTTCTTTCCTCATAACGTTCATTATATTCCCCAAATACATCACWAGRCAAGTWTTTAGAAYTGTGCATCCYARAATTTTAGACAATGTTGATCCTACCTGTTCCCAATATCAGGTTAATTTAGTACAGTTCCAAAAAATATGCTTCACAGTAATGTTTTATGTTTCATAAAAGTAGATGAGCAACCTAGGCATGCTAGCTGCTAGCCTCTCCGATGCTAAAACAGCTTATCTATCCTAGTCGTGCTAGCTCCTCCTATGCTAACACCAGCTTATCCATGCTAGTCTCTAGTCTCTCCGATGCYAACGCATATGAATAGTCTCCTTCTAATTTGCCAGCGTCGGCCTCTCAGTTATCAGTGCTGGCCTATCGTTAATTAGATCAATAGCTGGCTTAGGAATAAATATAGCCTCCTGCTACAAGGATGTAGCAACTGCTGGTTGAACAATAGTCTTAATTTTGGCCCTCRTACTGTGCGATAAACAGCTTCATAGTGTTTGAAAACAACTAGATTTTTACTAGAAAAAAAAAGTTGTTCATCCCAATAAATACCACTCACTCACTGAACTGTTGAAAGACTGCACAAACAAACCTGTTCAGCTTTGCAAATCTTTTCCACGTTGTTTGAGAAATGCTTCATGCAATCTTCAGCCAACTGCAGATGTACAGTTTTCTAGAATCAGGACAGAAAGAACAGGCAAAAATGTTAAAAACAAAAAACCTACACACCATTATTGCTTGTTAATGAAATATCTCATCTCTTGTTTTTAAACTTTTCTCCTGTTATTTTTCAGACGGTTGTCACAGTCTATTCTGCTGCAACAACTTTAAAAACTACAGGCTGCAGAGGCATCCACACCCAACCACAACATAATGACAACCTACTTTAACTACGAGCAGGAAGCCAATATTAGCTTCATTCGCTCTAAAAGCACTCTCTAGGCACATCCTTGAAATATAATATTCTAAAATCCCCAGATAAACTCTCTGAATCAAGTTAACATCACCAAAAATGTTATTTTTAAATTTTCATTTCATACCTCAGTCAGCTGTTTACGGAATGAAGGCATCTTCTTCATCATTTGGGCCAAATTGCTAATTGTGATCTGAAACAACAACAATAAAAGATGCATTCAAGTTTGCTAAGAAGTGCCTTTAAAACAGAAAATAGACATTTAAAGTCACCACTCCTCTACCTTCCCATCTGGCTGTTTCTTCTTGGCAGATATTTCCTTCACCATCTTGGGGATTTGCCTGTTTTAAGCAGGTTAAATGTTTAAATTAARACAGCAGATACACAATATTACAATAACGTGAATGTTGCTGGCTTACTCTGAGACTTCAGCGATATGTTTGTGCCTGAGTTTCACCCAAAGCATGTCATCTTCATTCAGCAGGGCCTGCTTCTCTGGGCCGTCTTTGGACTTGTACCTGAGCAGCAAGACCACCCAGATCCTCAGTTTCAGCAATCGGCAGGGCAACGTGGTTCGAAGGGGAGGGGCCACGTGTGAATTTGAGTACGGGGATATTCGGCAGGGAAGGACTTACCTGTACGTGTCGTCCTGAATATCAACAAGGTCGTAGACCATGGCCTGGTAGGTGAGTTCGTGGAGGATGGGGCTCACCGCGTCAAAACCTCGTTCCACTATCAGCAGCTGGGCYTGAGTCTTCTCCTACCAACAGAATGTAAATATTAAAGGGATCCACGATTAGTTGTAACATTAGACTTTATTTAATAAACGTATAGTTTAACTGTAAAATAAAGACTGTAAAAATACTGTAGGCTGTTTTGTTTTTATCATTTTTAAGCTAAAAGTTAAAACATATTTTACACGGATGGGGCCATTTTATTTACACGCAAAGCATTCTGGGTAAATGATGTGGATAGGTCCTCGGTGTGAGCGAGCTATATCCACCCTGAAGGTTAATCTTGGACAATATCTGATGATCGACTCTTTTAAATGAAACCAGAGAGCGTTGACAGAGAGGAGAAGGTAGAAATGACTCAGCCTGSAACTGAAAATATGGATGGAGGACCTCAGTTTAGCTTGTTGCGCTAGCGCCGAGCTAATACATATTAGGCAATATAGCGTAGGCGCTAGCGCAAAGGCTAACAAGCTAAGCTAAGGTTCTTCTTCCATGAAGCAGCTCTGTTGTCCTCCATCTATATTTTCAGTTACAGGCTGAGTCATTTCTACCTTCTCCTCTCTGTCAACGCTCTCTGGTTTCATTTAAAAGAGTCGATCATCAGATATTGTCCAAGATTAACCTTCAGGGTGGATATAGCTCGCTCACACCGAGGACCTATGCACGTCATCATTTACCCAGAATGCTTTGTGTGTAAATAAAATGGCTCTGTCCGTGTTAAAATATATTTTTAAAAATTTACAAAACTAAACAGCCTACAGTATTTTACAGTCTTTATTTTACAGTTAAAATATACACTGCAAAAAATGTCCACCTAACCAAGTTTTAAAATCTTATATTCAGCCAAAAATTTTTTTTTGATCTTGTTTTGAGACTGATTTACTAAACAAGAACTGATTGTGTAAGAATAATAATCTTGTTTTCAGAATGTGTAAGATTATTTATCTTGTTAGCCTGAAAATTTGACTCAAATTAAGTCAAAATTTCTGCCAGTGGAGTAAGAAAATTTTACTTGGTAAGATTCTTGAAATACTTGATTTGACTCAATTTTTTCTTATTTCAAGAATCTTACCAAGTAAAATTTTCTTACTCCACAGGCAGATATTTTGACTTAATTTGAGTCAAATTTTCAGACTAACAAGACAAATAATCTTACACATTCTGAAAACAAGATTATTATTCTTACACAACCAGTTCTTGTTTAGTAAATCAGTCTCAAAACAAGATCAAAAAGGCTTTTTGGCTGGATATAAGATTTTAAAACTTGATAAGATGGACAGCTTTTGCAGTGTATGTTTATCAAATAAAGTCTAATGTTACAACTAATCAGGGATCCCTTTAAAAAAAATGATGTATGATGTTTCTTTTTATTAATTTTATAAATAAAGTTTGTCTTGCCCAAGCCCTGGTGGAATTTCCAGCTCAAGGAAAGGAAAGTTTTCTCAGGTTTAAACAATACTTCATGTAAAGTTAGAGGCTAAACAACATCAGACTTTAAGGATCCCATGAACTCCCAAAGCTAACGTTTGGCTTAGGGCGTCAACAGTCTTTGTTCTGCAGGTGTCTCACCTTCTTCTTTCCGTAGTCATCCAACTCATAGTGTCTGGCCAGCTTGTTGTCAACCAGCTCCGCAAGTATTTTAGCATTCTCCATGTTGCTGTCTCTAGTTATTAAAAACAAAATGCAGGAAATATATCAGAATTATAAGACGATTTGCAACTGTGCAGAAAAAAAAAAACAATCGCTCTTCCTCCTCCTTTTTTTGCAAACAGCTACTTTATTCGCTTTTTTATGGAGCCCGCGAGGGGACACGGGGGGATTTTTTTTCTTTTGCGTTCCCACGCAATACCTTTGCGTTCCATCGCAAAAGTTTGATTTGTATAAGAACTAAATTAAATCACACTTTTATTTTGAAATATCCGGTTACCATAACAGGATGTGTCGCCACAAGTTTGTGAAATTGACATTGATGTTGTGTGGCTGCGCTGTGTTAAAATATCGGCATATGACATACTTCTATGCGTGGCTGTGTGATATATTCATTCTGAAGCTGAATTAAAGCAGTAGGCTAACTCGCTAATGGTGAACATGTGAGTTTGTTAATTAACCGGCAGGCACAACAGTGTTTAATGACTTTTGCGAGGGAGCGCAAAAGGTATTGCGAGGTAACGCAATACTTTTGCGTGGGAACGCAAAAAGAAAAAAATCCCCCATGTCCCCTTGGGGGCTCAGTACTTTTTAAATTCGACATAAAGTTAAAAAAAAAAGGTCACTAATGATGCGGAAATGTTTTTTTCTACTGAAGAGGCAAAAAAATAAAAAATAAAAAATTCAAGATTAAGTTTCTGGAAGCAACATCTTCCCCATTTTTTTTACTCCTAAGTAGTTAATAAGAAATCTTGGGTGTATTTCATTATCTATGCTGCTAGAAATAAAGCAAATATAATTTTTTTGTCCAACATCCCCGAAAACGACACGTTCTTCTCATAAAGAGTCAGTTTGGGGATGAGGAGTGGTGCAACTTAAGCACAGAAATGAAATCTTCTTCTTACTTCTTGTATCTGACCCCTGGGTACTCGTCCAACGTGGCACAGATCGTCACAATCTGGTCCGCCAGAGTCTCCAGTGTCTTCCTTTTGTCTCGACTGTGAGGACTGTAGATGCTTCGGAAAGCCCCCGGATTATCGCATGTGAACACCTGAGAAGCACGCCGTTTGAAAAGATTGCGATGCGACAAATCAGTTTTGCTTCCTAATTATACTTTCAAACCAACATTAATAAAACACTAAATATTGTCAACTTTTAAAACACAAAAAAGCCGCCATTTACTGTTCTCAAGCTGACTGACTGATTTTGAGAATTTACATTACTGTAGCAACACAGTTAAAAAAATGCAGAACCAAGTAAATTATGGCTCAAAATTACAAATACTTTACTGAAATAGAAAGAGGAACTGTAATATTATTACAAAACCACCCAAGCGACAAAAAAACCTCAGTTATTCACCTGTGCCTCCAATGGCAAGAAAGAGATGTTTATTTCCTTGCAGACACTGATGTACTTGGCACAGTAAAGCTTCATGTTGTTGAAGAGGTCATCAGGACAGACTGTCAAATCAAATTAAACATTTTGAAGTTTCATCTTGTTACAGTAAGAGCATTTTTGTCCGATCATTTATATGAAATAAGATATAAGTTACTTACAGTCAGTAAAATAAACATAGGCTCCTTTGTACTTGGGTTTGCTCTTGAAGTCTGCGATGAAGGCGTCTACACTCTGTCAAAATAGTTTAGTATTAGAACCATAAAAACAATCAATCTTTGCATTATAATCAAGGTTTTATTGACAAACCTTAGAAGTGGGCGTCATGAAGTAGATGGCCTTCATTTCAGTAACCGGCTCCCTCTTTCTGAACAGGTCCTCCACAACTTAAAAAGAATTTTTTTTTCAGCAAACGTTGCACAGAAATCCACATTTAAATTCCGGTTATTGCCACCACATGACTCTATGTTGTGAAAAATGTATATTTTCTCATAACTCATAACCTACTTGTTATTTTTTCTGCCATCAGATCGGACATTTTGCAACACGATGAGAGGAGCTTGGTGGTGAAAGGGTCTAGAATCAAAATCTGTCAAGACACATTTAGGGATGAATCAGTGTCCCGCGTGTGTTGGAAGGTTATACGGATAAGCATGAAATCAAGTGCAACTGAGTCAGAGAGAAAAATCAGACTGTCTGTTCATGCAATTAAAATACTGGAGGTGTCCTACCTTCCATAATTCAGATTTTCTGCAGTCTGTGATAATTGTGTCTTTTATTCCTGTTGAAAACGAATAACATGAAAAACCTACTCAAGAATCACCATTGAGGTACACTGTCTTGTTTAAAAAGACACTTTCTTGCACAATATAATGCTATAAATTGTTTATTTGTGATCAGTCTTTGTTGGAGTAACTTCAACTTTTTGTAAGGCTTCAAACAGGTTTGTAAAAGTCTTTCTTATGACATTGGTTGCTAACGTAGAAGAATGAGGTGGGGCTCCAGGCAGCAGCAGTGACCTCACGCCGATTAAATTCACAAACAAAAGCCAGAAAACCTGTTGAACCAAGTTTAATTAGGCGCATTTACTCTAGCGAATATTGATCTCACACAAAAGTTAAGAACTTCCGTTTCTTACAAGAAAATAATAAAATAACTGAACGGTTTATTCCGAGAAGTCACTGCAAAATGAAAACAGCACACTTGAACCAAATCCGGGTTTGGATTTTAACAAAACAAAACGCTACATTTGTAAGGCTAACAAACACTTTAAAACAGGAGAACTTACTTTTCCAAACTATTCTCTTAAGCCCGTGATCTGAACCTGCTGCTGCCATCTTGTTTTCTTTTCCGCTCGGTGTGTCGCGCGGATTTAGACGTCACATGCGTCATAGACAGGCGACGTGGCGCGATTGTAGTTTTTCAACCCTTGAAAATAAAATGCAAACCGAAATTTTCTTTACTCATTTGTTGTATTTTGATTTAGTACATTCTTTGCATTTTTAATACGTTTTTGTTATTGTTAATATAAAGGGTGCATTTCTGCAAGTATACAGCCATATAAGTAGTATCTGTCATATACTTAAATAGGCTTTATTTGTATGT